TGCTCAGAAAACAGTGGGCAGTCTGACAAAGACAACTCTGTGCCAACTCATTGTATTTTGGGTTTCAGTTTACATCATTCCCATCCTTCAAACATTCCCAACAATGGGTTTTTATACAAAGGGGCTACAGAATCAACTATAAAGGGATTCCCCAGAGTTGTGCTCTTTGAAAACAAGTCAGTCTCCACGTCATTCCTTCTTGGTACTCTTCAATCAATGATTTACTCTAGTTTGTTTTTCTGTCTTTCCCTTACTGGCTGCTACGTGCCTTAAAAGTTTTACTGATAGCGTGGGGAGATGTAACACATCAGCGCTTTGATATTCTTGCTTGATTTGTTTGGAGGAAGAGGAATAAAAAAAAGAGAGCTTGTTACAATCCTGTGAACTTGCGTAAGTTTTGTTTTCTTTGRGAGTCTGTGGAAAAAGAACAACTTGTGGGTGCACGGTATTTGTGGCACAACCCTTGAACGCACACATGCCCTTACTTGACTTCTTAATCTTCAGTTTCCTGCCCTCCCTCACGTATCTCCGAATAAAAACTTCACGCTGCTGTGATTCCTCCCCTTCGCTTTGCCTCTGTGGCCCCTCTGTGTGTGTGCCGTCTGCAACAGCTTTATACCTTCTTGCCACAGCTCCCCTCAAAGCCCCTCCACTCCTGCTGTTTTCACTAGGGCACTGCACAAAAACCGCACTTGGCTTGAGCCCAGCAACTGGGGCCCACATACCTCCCAATCTCTAGATTAAATAGCACCAGTCTCTGAAGTCCTTCCAGGGGCTAATAGCTTTTGTTGCTGGGAATAATCCACACATCCTCTCCCACATCCCGGGAAACCGCTGGCCTGTTGTGAACCCCGCCTTTGCTCTCTTAATTTCTCTCTCACATCTCCGTCTTAATCTACTCTTCAATTTCGGTTGACCTCCTAGACGCCCCCATGGCACAAACCCTGTGGTTTTAGGGCAGTGGCATCCAGGACGGAGCCACCAGCGTTGAGGGGAGGATACACTTGAGTTGACATTGGGCTGAGAACCACGCAGGGTTTTCTAGGGAGTCGGTGCAGGTGCTGTGTGAAGCTTAATGAAGGTTGTTCTTCCCGCTCATCTGCAGCCAAGTGAAGCGTGAGCAGCTCGGAAAAGACGGAAAAGTGACTGGGTGCTACATTCACCTCAGGAAAGGAAAACATCCGTCAGACAAAGAGCTCAGCAGAGCAGCCTTTGTGTCAGCACTTGAAGTCCAGTCAAAGTACAGCACAGAGGCAATTTTTTTGCAAGAATGGGTTTTTTTCCCCTCCCTCAACACAGATCAAAGAACCCTCTGTATTTTGGGTTGAGAGCGAGGTCCAGAATACAATCCTCGTCGCCCTCTGTCGTTCAAAACATCCCTGATGTAGACCACTGCTGGCCCGTGACGTCAGAAATTTATGCAGGATGCATTTTCTGCTATGAGCTCATATCCTGTCTGGGGCACTTTTTTTAGGGAGACCAACCAGGGAAAAAGAAAGGCAGACAGACAAAAAAAAAAAAAAACTGTGGTTTCAGACCGCAGACACAGAGKTGTTTAATGATCGCTCTAATTACACAGTTTTATCAGAAACATTAAAGAAAGGCTAGACATTGATGGCCTTTATTTTGCCTCGATTTCTAATTTTAGCCTGATTAATAAGGCTCTCAGCAGGGTATAGCTCCATCTACAAAGACACCATAAGCCATCTCAACAACTATATAAAGATTTCCAGCAAACCCTGTCACTATTGTAGAGTGCCAGAGGCCAGGCTGAGACGTGACTGCCCATAAAAAGCAGCAGAAAAGAACAGCAAACAGTGAGTTTGAAGACTGCGGAATATTATATATATA